GCAGCAGCTGCCCTGAAGCACCCTCCCAGCAGAGTTCCCTTTTCCAGCTGTTCCAGAGGTGCAGCGCACTGCTGCTGCATCTTCACACTGCCCTGGGAACCTCTGGCTCTTTATCTGGGATCCTTGCTAAAATATCTGGTGTAGCCTTAAATGTTAGCCCAAGTGTGAAATTGCTCTGCAGGTTCCAACAGAAGCAAAAGCCTCTAATCCTGAGTGTGATCTCTTCCAGTTCAGCTGTGTCCAGCCCTCGGGAGGGTGTGCTTTGGACTCCTTCAGGAGCTAGGGAAGCTCAGGGGTTGGGCTGTGCTGCCCCTGACACGATCTGAGATTCTTTTGGAAACTTGGGAGAACCTGAATAGAGCTGGCTGTAGCAGTGCCCCCCTCAAAGCTGCATGTGCAGAAATAGGCAGAGATTCCTGAGTCTTGCAGAGACTTTGCTCCTTAAATATTGCCATAGCAGGTGTCTGTGTGGAAGGTGTTCAGATCCACCAGCACCATGTATTTCTCATTCCTCGCTAGACAGTGCTCCCCACTGAGGAACAAAGCCTTAACTGATGTGTTGCTGAGCAGGGCAGTCCTAGGGCTGAACAGGATCACTCTGGCACTTGGGATACCAATGCATCTGCAAAAATACCTCAAAAAGTGAATCCTTGTAGAACACTCTGTGTATATATGTGTGTTTTACCTAATATTTGACCTTGCAGGTCTATCTGTTGCAATATAACATAGTAAATCCTTTTTTTCTTCATTAGACCTTGTGCTTTACTGCCCACAGCAGCTCAGTTCTGTTTAACTGGGGACTGTTTGCCAAGAGCATTAAGGTATAATGGTCTGAAAATTGTTTATTTATCAAGTTCTGTTAATTCTAAAGTTTATCTGATGATCAATTATTTTAAGGATAGTATATTGATAACAGAGCCTGTGGTAAAATGCTGCTGGAAAATAGGAAGCTTTTATTTATGTCCAGCGCTCAATTTGCATTCTTTTTTGTAGTTTCTGTTCCTTGCACACATTACATGCAAAAAATACACTCACACAACTGCTGAGTGCTGGAAGGTCTGTGCATTGCTCAGTGACATAAGACAGGCACTGTAAAACTTCCAAAGCATGTTTCCAGCTCCTTCTTGTCACAAAGAGGTGGGTGGCAGACTGTCCCAAACTGGGACAGTAAAGCTCACAACAAGTGTATCTCAATTCATCCTAATAATGCTTGGTGTAGGAAAATAGTCTGAAGCAGGAAATATTAGTAACTTGTTTGTCAGAAGTTTACTGAAAACAAATTATGAAGTTTTTAGTGCTTTCAACCTGTTTTTTTTTCACTTGTTAGTGGTATTAAATGAATAGTTAACATCTGGCTGATAATAGGATTTGGGTAGTGTTAACATTGGGGCCAAATGACATAGATTTATTCACAATGTGTGGGGAGAAAAATGGTGATGTGATTTTGTTCTTTCCGCACTTTTCTGCTCCGTGCTGAAGCAGTAATGAGAAAGCAAATGACTGACTGTTTTTTTCCTTCTGTAATAATTGTTTGAATTCCTTAGGAGTTTCATTACCTTGGGTATTGAAGAGGCAGATTGTTCATAATTTAAAATCTGCCTTTGCAGGACTTCAGCCCTTTTCACATGCTTGAAGGGATGCCCACTAACCACCACACTCCTCTGCTGTGGAGCATGTGCTTCCTCTATATTGTAGATTTTAAAAGGTTGAATCTTCAAAGCTGATAATTTTTTTGCAATTTTTTGCTTTGTTTTCAAACTGAAAAGAAGCTATTCCCTTTCATTAATATTCTGGATTAGGTCTAGGGGTTAAAATGAACAGAGGATTTGTGAGGTTCAGACACTTGGAATTTCAATCTTACAGCAGGAGAACAGGTGTGATGATTCAGGAAATGTCATTGATGTTTCACCTTCTGCTAGAAACACTTTTGTCTTTGGGTGATTTAAGTTTCAAATAAATTTCTGGACATTTGGAAGGAATAGTATATTTCAGTCTGCTTCTGTTCCTCTCAAGGAAATCTTTATCTTCAAAGAGTGTAATGGAGGGCATATTTACAAGCTCCTTAAAGTGTGAAAGTGTTGGTGCAAATGTCTTGGGTCTTCAGAATTCAGTGGTGAATACTTTTTGTTTTGTTTGGACCCAAGGGAAAGAAAGCTGCTTACCAAATTTATGGAAGTACTTAAACATGTGCTTTTTCAGGTGTGTGAAATGGTTTGCACTTATATCCAGGTCAATATCATAATCTAATAAACCTGTAATCCAGAAGAGTCTTTAAGCTACTCTTTCTGAGTAATTTAAACTTTTGTATCTGCCTGCCTGTAAAAGATGGATAATATTGCCATTCACCTGGGAACAATCTTCATTAATAAATTCTGATGGAATTCCATTCAGTCTTTTCATCTGTGCTTGATACAGAATTTTGCAGGTGCAGTCAAAGGTGAAATTGGGTGGGAAGAGGAGGAAAAAGGAATGTCTAACTTCATAGCAGAAGGTTTTTCCCTTTAGCTTTTAACATACTGACATATAACTTTGATTGTTCACTTTTTCTAATGTAGCACCAAAATTAGGCATTCAACAGGCTCTTATCAAATGTGAATTTTTTTTTCCTGAGTTGATAGTAATTAAATGCAATAGAGATCACTTCAAACTTGAAAGTATAGGTCATGGTTCGAAACTGGGAGGTAGGGTTTTATACTATCCATCACATTTGTCATTTATATTTCACATGTATGTACAATTCTGTGAATTCTGCCTCACTTCTGTGATTTGTGTACAATCCAACGAAAAAGGAGATAATGGAAAGACCTCATCTGCCTGTTAGTAATCAAGATAATAGAAATCTAAGCCTCATCTTTTGCTCCTCTGTTTAAAATCAGATTCAGCAAGCTGGAGGTGTCCTGAAGATCATATACCTTACTTTTGTTCAGTTCCCTACTTAGCAGAAATTACAAAGTGAAGAACATTTCATTTTCTGGCCTTTGCAATTGTTTACTTTATAATGCATTTTATTTCAGGGGTGCATGTCCTTCTGCAGTCAGATAGCACCTCTGTGCCACAAAGTGGCCATGGGAGCCCCTGGTGTCCTGCCCTGTTCACAATTTGTGTGTTGTGCCTGTCCTGGCAATCAGCCCTGTGGGAACCTCCAGGAGAAAACGCTGGGAGCAATCTGGAATGGCTCACAGGTTGTTGTCTGACATGTGGGCTGATTTGCCAGCTAAAATTACCTCAGATTCATGAGGACACACAGAGAAGTCACTCTCCTCTTAAAACGTGCTGAATTTCATCTCTGTGAGCGCTGAAGTGAGAAGGGCTTCTACCACTTTACAAATTTGGTTGGAAGAAGCCAAAGGGGCAGTGGTCAGTGGAATGTCAAAGATAGGCAGAGGGAGTTGCAAAAGCTTTGGTTTTTTAAGGAGGGAGTTTTCTGCCTTGGTGAGTTTAGGAAGTAGTGAAATATTTCTAAAACTTTAGAAAGAAGTTTCCATTATTCTCATTTTACATCTGATAAAAAGATGATCACTGCACTCCCTCCCCACCCTGGATTCTACCAGAGAGAGGGGACAGATGAGCCAACTGATGAACATATTTAGTCTTTAAGTGTTTTAGAACTTTAGAATCACCAACTTTGGGTTCACCTATAGATGATGAAGACTCAGCATAATTATGAGTGTCATGTGAAAGCAGATTCTACTTCCATTGAGTTTATAAGCTTAAAAATGTGAATATTTTAATTTTTCTCAATATTTTCTACTGCTTTCTATCGGAGATACTGAATGGACCAAATTATGCTACATGCCCCATGAATGCCAACTAGTTCTTTATCCACCTACCACTGGAATATTATAGGTCAATTTAGCAAGATCGTTAACAGCAACCATTTTTATTCCCTTTGCTCCTATTTCAAATCCCAGAAGATGAATTCTTATGCAGTCAGTTCAACATGTAGATGACCAATTTATGTTGTAATTCCTAAAACAGTGTGTTTAGAATTTATGCTAGCTATGGCTCACCAGTACTGAGCATTCTGTTTCCTTTTCTTGCATGAATTCTGGAAGGAAATAATATTCATTTTGGTTAAGCTGTCTTTCAAAGACAATTATTTGTATTTAGAGCATTAAAAAATAATTAAAAATTAGTTTTATGTCAAAAGGTTTCCTGGGATCCTGAGTTTTCTTGCTCTTCGGTACTGTGTGTACACTTTTTCAGAATGCTGCAGTTATTCCACCAGCATGTAACATGTTCTGCACCTCTTAGAGATATCCTAGGAAAGTCAATTCTACCTACTGTTTTTTTCCAGATTAGATTGGTTTATAAATTGGTGTGGAATGTGAATTTCCTTCTCTAGTGTGGTCTTTCATTAAAAGCTATCTTTACATCATGATAAAACTTTTCTTTAAAAAACAAAATACTTAATTTCATTAATCTGTTTAGCAATACCAATATAATGAGCCATAATATTGATTTTTTTTACTTAGGATTTAAAATCTCTATTTCTTTCCATAGAATTAAATGCTTCAAACTGATACTCAACCTCCTTACAGTCCCCTCTTTAATTTAGTTGTTATAATTAGGCATTAACTGGTGTCGGTGGTATAGCCAGTTACAAGCCATTCTGTTCTGCTTGTCTTGATTATCACAGTTTGGATGTAAAGTAAATTAGAATGAAAGACTATACAGTCCAATTACAGATAAAAGCAGCAAACTCTACTGCTGTAATTAGATGCCAGTACTATTTTTCTTAGATATTCTATCTCTGAGGGCATTTCTTGTAGCTACTTTGCTGAAGCTAATGTTTAAAGATTTTATAAATGCTTTGTGTCTTTGTGGCATCATCTTTGCTCCTTCAACTTTAAGTGGCGTGTTTTGATGTGCAGGATCTGTCTCTATACATTCCTTGCCCATGATTCATTTTTATTTCAAGCTGATGTAATGCATTATCCATATTATGAGTGTGTGGGCCTTAATAAGCAGGAGTGTTAAATAGTTTTCATCCTTTTCAGGGTTCAGACATTTCCAGGGAGGAGGCACCTGCTTTTTGCCACAATGCAAAATAATTCCACCCATTTCTCCTCTGCCACAGCAGGTAAGAGGGGCTGTGCTGAGGGTTCTGCTGTCTCCCACCTGCGTGACTTCTCCAGGACAGTTCTGTTGACAGAGCTGTTCTGGCTCTCTAGTACACCTCATTGACAGTCACAAATGTTAAATAGCACCTCCCAGAGTTATTAATTAAAAAGAGTCTTTGGCTTCTTGGGATATGGGGAAGGGAAACTCACTCAGCAGGCAGTGGACTCAAGGTCATGTAAATTTTCTTGACTGCTATTCCAGCATCCTACAAACCAGCTATTGTCTTCATCAGGAATCTTTATAAATTGGCATGCAAGCATCCATAAAACAGTGAAAGACAATGTAAATTGGATTGGTTTTGCTATATTTTGCAGAAAAAATCTGGCTTCTTTATGAATAGCAAAAAAGCTTTAGCTCCAAAATTGCTGAGAAGTGATGAAAAAGACAAGAACTGTTTAATGCTCAACAAGGTCACTGTAAATACAATATTTTTAGTACTTTTACTTGCAGACAGTGTTAAAACAGTCTGTAGATGCAAAAACTACTTTATGGCCAGAAAAAAAAATACAAATTCTGCTATATTAATCTTTTAAGTCCTTGGGGAGAAAGGAAGTACCTTTCAAATGATTTAAGGGAAATCTGGTGTTTGCTGTAGCTGATCAAAAGCACCTTACAGAATAATTTTTGTACTGAAAAATTCAAATGTGTAGTTTTGTTAAGGGAAAAACTTAGATTCAGTTAACACATTGCTGGAACACTGCATCAAAATGATTGGCTTTGACCATTTTATTTTGGCAAAGTTGTTTCAAATAATTCCAGCACATTCTAAGTATTGCAATTACTGAGTGTTAGTACTACATGTGCCACTCAATATTTCACATTCTAGAAAATCTAAAACTATTTGCATCAGAGTAAGTTTGCTCAAGAAACAATATCTGTATGATTTTTTTTGTGAGAGATAATATTTTACTAGGAAGTATAAAATTGTTTTGTAAGAATTGCAGTTCCTTTTTTCTATTGAAATAATTGAATAGTCAGTTATTGAGTAGCTTTCTAGCTCTTTAGCAACCACTAATATGAATTAGGTGACTGACTGTACAAAGTGTTATTTTGTAAAGTTATAAAATACCGTTTATACATGATAAAACTTTCAAATTGGTACAAATGTGTATCAGTAAGGCTAGTACCTCAAACAAGGAAAATGAGGAGCATATTGCTCATTATGTGTGAAATTTGCCCATTGAGAGTAGTCCACCTGCTCGGATGTGAGGTCAGAGTCTCAGAGATGAACTGAGCCTCTGGAGGAGAGCCTGGGATCTAGGATGAACCACTGGTGACGGCAATGGCAGCAGCAACTCTCCAGCACCACCTGAATGACACTCTTGAAACATCAAAGAGCTCCACAATGGACTTTACATTGTCTGGAGACAGGAAATTTAAAGAAATTAAATGTGAGTATCATGATATTAGAGACAATTATGGGGCTGATGTTATAGCTGGCAGTAAAAGAGATTTAAAAAACGCACTTGTATTATTGATGTTTCTTCCTTACACACTGTGTTTGGATATGGTTTTAATGTACCAGTACAGCATAAAAGACTCACGTTGTTTGATTCTCTAGGGTAAAGTTAATTGGTAATTTAAACAAAAATGATAATCAAAAAAACATTTAGCAAGTTGTATTATTCAAAGCAATGTTATAACTTCCTGTTTCACAGCAAAGGTACAGAAAATTATGTATGTTGATTTAAGGAGATTCAGTTTTACGTGATTAATTTTCTAAAGATCATTTAAGGTGTAAGCAAAGCTTATATTTCCTTGTGAAACTGAATTGGTCCGACCCCTCGCTAATTTTGCCTACAATTAGTTTGGTGTAATTATCACAGCGTACAATTTAGTCTGCTTCCACAAAAAATTATTGTTCACAGGACCATAAAACTCTTTAAAAATTGCTTAATGAACAACTCAGCCATGAGTATGTCTTAGAAGATGAGAACTGCTATTAAATATGTAAAACATGAAGATGCAATATGTGTACATTGCACATAACAAACTTGGTATAAAACCAACCTCCTGGACACTCTATAGATTTGAAGAGTAGCAGGAGGTCACAAAGTGAAAGGCTGTATCCAAACTCACCAAACTGAAGCAAGATGACATACAAGCTAAATTCTGCTATCTCCTGATTTCTAAAGATTTGGATTTTCCACATTATTATCTGACTATGAACTCAGGCTTTGTTGTGGTGGGCTTTGTTTGGTTTGCTTTATTTCATCATAGTGGGTTTTTTTTTGTTTTGTTTTTAATGAAAAGGTTGCCATCATTTGTATCTGGGATTTGGACTGAGTTACATCCTAATAATTAAGGAAAAATTGATTGATCCCACTGCTTCTTAAAGCTAGAAGACCCACATGCCAAGCACCAGACATCGTGATTTTGATTTCTTTTTTCAAGTAAAGGAAATTGATTACCATTTACCAGACTAGAATTATCCAGCAGGCCAGAACCTAGGATCAATCCATAGCAAGAATATTCAGACATCTCTACAGCACCTGTACATTCACTAGGATTGTTTCATATCATATTTTTGCTGCATAAATCCACAGAATTATCTCCTGATGTATAATACCTATGCTTCTCTCATAAGAGAAAGCAAATCAGTTTTCTTCTCTCATTAATTCTTACAAAGACTGAAGAAAATTTTTCCTTTATTTTCTCTGCAGACAATGGTAAAGAGAAACATAACAGCTCTCATTGAACCTTTTTTTCACCCCACCCTGTTCAAAAGAAAAAAATAAAAAAAATTATCTGGAGTTTTATAGGTGTAGCCAGAGTGACACACCTTCCTCAGCTCTCAGCTTTGTCAGAGATGAACCCTTTCCATGACATCTCAAAGGGTACATAGAAAGTGATAAAGAAACTTATATTTCTGTTGACTTTCAGAGCAAGAGTTACTGATATTTTGTCTCCTGCTATGGAAACCAGTGCTGATAGAGGGGAGTCATTCCTTGGAACTGGAGCGTTTTGTGGGACAGCTCTATAGATAGGTCTGGATTGACTCTGTGTGTGTAGTATAATCCTATTGAAAAACAGCTCCCAAACTTGCCTAAGAGTCTGAAATGAGCTTTTCAATAGACAAATAATCCCTAAAGAAAACCTAGGGGTTTAGGTAAGGGTTAAACCATATGGTGTTGTATTACATTTCCAAAATTAGGGGGAAAGGATAACTTCTCTCTTCATTTATCAAGAAAAACTTTAATCTGCATCTTAACCTGTGCATTTCCTATAGCATCTATTACCACGGTAGCTTTATGCTGGCTTAGGATTTCTCCTCTTTTAAAACCTTTTGCCTTAAACCACTGTTATGGGTTGAAATCTGATCATGATTTCCTGCTGCCAGAGCATGTTAAGAAACCTGTTTCCATTGCCAGTTTGTAGCAGGAAAAATGTGATTGAGCTTCAAAATATTGTTTCTATTCTAAGTTTTGTCAACAGTGTACAATAAAGTCTTTTGGGTGAGATTTTCAAGATGCACACAATATTAGCCAAAATAGTGTCAGTCATAAAAGACTCCTTGTCTTTAGTGGACAAAGAGGTAAATAGTTCATTTTTTAATTTTTTTTTTTAATCCTCCTGTCATTTATTTTAGTTCTTCATTGCTTCATAAGATCTTATTTCATTGGTTGCCATACAGCCAAAACATCTTGTGCTCAACTCAAGACCTCTTTCCCTAGTAAATGAATGGAGTACCTTTTGGAAACCTTCCAGCTAATAGTCTGCTCCAGATGGTGCTGCTTGCAACTTCTAAGAAGCACAGGAACAGGCAGCAAGTGCCTTATTCTTTCTGTCAAATAAACAATCTATGTTTTGGTAGGTCGGGATGTGGTAGAAATAAATCAAACTTCATGAGCATGAGCAGTAAGCTGAACCTGTAAGTAACTGTTCGACTTTGGAGGTCGAGTTGCTTGCTATCAAGTTCAGAAAGCAATTCCAGATAATGCCTTGTGGCCAGCCAAGTGGTGGGCTCAGTTTCTAGCTTGGCTTCTCTGTCTAAGGGAAAAAGAGCCATGCTCTTTTTAAAAAGTGGTGCCTGAGGATGACAAAACTAGCAGGGTGAGGGCTACTGTTCAAACAGCTCCACAGCTCATCTCTTTTGGCAGCTCAGATGCTGAAAGTCTCATCATGATGTGCTGTGATGCAGTTGTGTGCAGTCTGATACAGGCTGAAAGTGTGGGGAAAGGCAAAACCTTCTGATTGTTTAAGTAACAGTACATTCACCATGTTATCCAAATGGTCAGTGTGCAAGTGCAATTAACAGCTTGCTTTATCCTGGCTCGTTTATTCCTTGCATACTGTAAGTAAAGATCTATCAGCAATATACAAGAGTTAAACTCTGAAAAGCATTGTTGTGGTTCCGTTGTGTAGAAAACAATACTGTAATTGAGATTATTTGTCCATTTCATTGGAAGAGTCACAATACCTGTAAATATGTTGATTCTATCTTTAATTCTTTGTTTTCCTTCTATGTGCTCAGTGCATATAATTTTCTTGGTCTTTCAGAAGGCCTCAAAATAGCAGTAATTAATCTTTAGTGATAGTGAGTATTCTATTAGCTGTGAATAATAACTTTTACTTTCATTAAGAGGCTTTTTTTTTTAACCTCTAAGGAATGCAAAGTATTGTTCTCAATTAGTTATGATGATGAGAGAAGTATAAACTGTAGTCATGGGAAAGTTACTATAAGCAACTCAGAGCAAATGTTTAATTGGCATAGACTGGCCCTTCTCCATGTTTTGTGTGCAATTACAGACACCTTCCTGAAGCCTGGATTTGGCCCTTGTAGACAGTGATTTGAGATTTCTTTTTTTCCCCTGTAGATGTTTTTTTCTCCATGTACTACTGTTTGTCTGCACAACTCACAACTGTACCTGGGTATCAGGCTCAGGGACAAAACTCACTCTTTTTTGGAGATGCATCAGAGTAGGATTATAGGAAAGTTTCTGCAAACTTCTTGATTAA